CCAGTTTAAGCATTTCCAAATGAGAATTATTACCCAGAATAGTTACTGAACTGCCAGAATCTAGTAAACCAGATAAAGTTAAGTTATAAATTTTGACATTAACGAATGGACGATTAAGATCTTGTTCCTTGGAGTAGACTGTAGAAGAGATTTTGTAACAAGAAAAGAAGTTTTGAATTGTTTTAATCCAATTAGTCCAATCGTCGTTATCAAAGTTTAAGTTACTTTTCAAGTCAGCAGTTAGTTTTTTGAACTAGTATTAGGTTTGGGAGAACAAGTAGGGCAATCTGCAGTTTTAAAACCCTTAAGACCACATTTGAAACAAATCACGAATCGTGGTTGAGTACAGGTGTTCAAAGAATGACCTTGTTTACGACAGCGAACACAAAAGGAGCTTTCTTGAGGAGCTTTAGTTTGAGAAAGACTATTAACTTGTCTAGAAGGGTATTTGTAGGATGAAGTGAATTTATTCAAGAGGGGAGGAGAAGGTCGTGAGTTATTAGAAGAATTTGGAGAGTCAACTGAACTTGAACAACTGGAATGCTTGTAGTTGAATTTAGAAATAAGAGGACTTTGTTGTACATTTGGTTCTTTAAATTGTTTGTCTCTGTCTAGGAATTTTTCATAGTTTTGGCAAGTAGCCAAAAGAGAGTCGATAGAGTCAATGTCTTTTAGAGCTACGAAGACTGAATAACATGGGCCAATATTCCTCAAAATAATCTCCAATTGTTCTGTTTCAGAAAGTTTCTTCGAAAGACGAGAAAACATTCCAGACATGATGGAAATATAGATGACAATAGGTTCATCTCGACCTTGAGTTCGATTCCTAATCGCTTCTAACAGTTTGTGATCATAATCAAAACCACCAAAGTCTTTGATTAATAACGAAGAAAGTTCGTTCCACGTTAAGTTTAGATTCTGATTATATTTAAATCTGAACCAATGAAGAGTATTGTCAGTGAAAATTTCAAACGCTTGTGAAATCAACAAGTCTTTGGACAAGCCACGAGCTATACAGTATTCTTCCAGTTTTTGAAGAAAGGATCTTGGACAGCTTTTACCATTGAAGGTGTGTCTTTTCAGATCTTTGAAGACGTTGGTTGGAGAAAAAGATTGAGGTGGTGGTGGAGGATACGGGGTATGGACCTGAATAGAAGTTTGAGAAACAAGAGGGAGTTCCGTGACAGTCGGGTCAACAGGAGGGTCAAGTGATGGAGGGTCATTTTCAGTTGGAGGTGGAGTCAAGGATTCAAATTGTTTAGTAATATCGTCATATTTCATTTTCAAAGTATCGAAAATAGCTTTAAAGTCTGGATATAAGTCAATATCTATTCGTTCCAATCTGTAAAAGACATGATTAATAAAAGTTTCTATTAGTCGCAAGTATTTGGTTTCGCCTTGTAAAAATTTTTTAATTTTACAGTCCAAGTAGGTCAAAGTAGAATCAATTTGAGACAAGTCATCCTCAATCGGAATTGGAGAAGTCAGAATATCTTCAGGGTGAGAATTCGCAACTAAACGCAAAACCTGTTTTTTTAGAAGTAAAACAGTATTAGCTGGTTTCTCATATCTAATCTTCACTTCGTATTCGAGTTCGGCCTTGTTAAGGAATTCGTACTTAATAACCCTTTTCATTGTTATAATTAAGTTTAAGAAATAAAAATTTAATTAAAAATTATACCTCTTTAAGTTATCTAGAATAAAAATATTAAAGTGATGAATGTAAGTGAAGTGTTGAATGTAGGTCTAAATATAATCTAGATAAGTTGAAACACTAGATGAAGTGTTGGTTTAGAATTTGGAAGATTATCTACAATAAAATTATTAAAGTGATGAATGTAAGTGTTGTGTGAAATGTAGGTCTAAATATAGTCTAGATAAGTTGAAACACTAGATGAAGTGTTGTTTTAGAATTTGGAAAGTATGAAAAGGATAAATAAATAAAGAGTTAAGAACGAAAGGGAGAGCAATTAAATCAAAAGGGAATGGACAAGGCGCAGTAAAGGTGAAGAATTAAGAGAGAAAGAGGACTTTTACGTTGGGCGCCAAATGTCGTGAAGCGACAATAATATATCAAAAAGAATCTAACCTAAGAACAACAAAACAACAAAAATACAACAAAAACAGAAATATATTCAAAATTCAAAGATATTTACAATTTTATAAAAAAATGAAATGAGGATGATGATGAATGAAGTGAGAGTACAATTAGATTACAAAACAAATAAAGGTAGGAGAATAGGGGAATATAGAGTTGTAGTGGAGCCTAAAAGTCGAAGCGACACACGTTGCGATTGTAGAGGTAGGTTTCTTAGCAGCGACGACACGCAGCGCCTGAAGCCAGCACACGCCGGTTGCGCTTGTAGAGGTAGGTTTCTTAGCAGCGACGGCACGCAGCGCCTGGAGCCAGCACACGCAGCGTCCGGAGCCGGCGCACGTAGCGCCTGGAGTAGGTGCGCTCAACGCTTAGAGTCAGCAGTTGCAGCGCCCAAAGGTAGCGCCGGCGGTAGGTGCACTCGGCGCCTGGAGTAAGCAGTCGTAACGCCCGGAGTAGTGTGAACCCCGCGCTTGAAGTAGACTGCCGACGACTTCCGAGGTAGATGGAGGCTTGTAGGATTCCGGAGTGGTGCGGCTCCGCGCTTGAAGAAGGCTTCGCCGAAGACTTCACGTGTAGGTGGAGGCTTGCAGGATCCCAGGGCAGTGCGGCCCCGGGATAAGGCCTTTAGGAGATGCTTCCAATTCGAGAACTGAAGCGAGACTGCCTTTCTTCACCGATTGTTCGGCTTTTATACCTTTCTAGAGAGAACGGAAAAATTATTTAAATTAAACGCAAATTTTTTGTAAATGGTCAAGAGAAAAGAGTATTTATGTGGAATTATCGAAATAGGAACAACAGATCGGTAGCAAATTTGAATATAATTACTATGGAGACCAAATAAACAAAAATGTCAAAACATGTCAAATTTTAGTTTTAGGCTTGTAATAAGAAAACGGCAAGATTTAAGTGGAAAATGAGATATTATTGATATAGGAAAAAAGGTAGCGCAACTGCCCACACAAAGCCTGAAATTGTAGAGTTACGGAAAACTAACTAAAAGATCGAAAAAAGGTAGACTCCATTGACACCAATTTAAAAGTGCTGATAATGTGAAAATACGAAGTAGAAATGATTTGTTATTGTGTTCTTATGGTTTAAAATCGTTACAGGATCCTATGGAAATAAAGGTGATGTAAAATATCCAGTTTTGAAGTGAATGCAGAAAATCGAAACAGAATGGAAAAATGAATTTAAAATAATGTAAAATGATAAGTAAGTAGCATAACACTACAACTTCATCCACCAACACATACACAAACAACCCCACATCATACATACAACTACACTCCTACATTCACATTCACACGTACTAATTACAAATTTTCTAGAGGAAAAACTTTTTGTAATCCTTAAGGGTAGTAGCGGGTTATTCCCAACACGAGTCCTCTGATTACTCACTGGGAAACCTCAGCAATATTTTATTAACTAGATCACCGAAATAAACGCATTATATATTTATTTATTTAAATATTTTTTTAAGATGAGTGTCTTATATTTCTGATAAAGCCCAAAATATTTAGCAAAGGCCACATGAAATGTATGCAGATTCAAATGTCTATAAATCACAATTTTTGCCAATTTTCTGTAAACATCTACAAAAATATCATTTACTGGAGAAATACTACCCAAGTGATTTCCTTGAGTCAAGATTTCCCACAAGATTACCTAAATAAGTATAAGAAGTCAAACATAATTCTTGCGGTACTTTTTAACTTACATGATTATAAAACATTTTATACCCAAAAATTTATAACAAATATCGTTTAAAATTAATAATTATACAGTTGGAAAAAGGTCAAAGTTGTCGAAATTATCATCATCATTACAGCCCTTCACAAGTCCACTGCTGAACATAGCCCTCCCCCAAGGAATGTCACAAAGCACGGTTCTGAGTCACTTGCATCTTTCGACTTCCTGCATGTCTTACCAGGTCGTCACTCTAGTAAGCTATAGTTTCATAATATAACTAAAAAAACGTATCATGTCATGTTATTCCTGTGATCACTTAAAAAATTTCCGCTGGTTTTCTTGCTGGTTCTTCCCAGGACAGAAGTTTTATTCAAACCAATGGCAAAACTATAAAAATGACTTTCAGTAATAAAAATAAATAATAAAACGGGTGACGAGCTAGTTCCATCTAATTACAGACCTATTTCTCTGTTATCAACATTATCAAAAATTTTAGAGAAGATAGTAAACAAACGATTAATAGGTTTTTTGGAACGTAATAAGTTACTGTCCGATAACCAATTGGGTTTTAGGTCTGGACGTTCTACGGCGGATGCCACACTTAGGTTGGCATCGAAAGTACTTTCTTACTTGGATAAAGGTAGCAAATGTCTAGGTATTTTCCTTGATTTAAAAAAAGCTTTTGACACCGTATCAATACCCGTGCTTCTATCAAGACTAGAAAATCTTGGCGTAAGGGGTCTTCCATTGGCGTGGTTTAGAGATTACCTATCTGATATGAGCCAACTGGTCCGTGTCGGTAACTACATCAGTAGCAGTGCGGAATGTACCTACGGCATTTCACAGGGTAACACACTTGTTTCAAGCCTGTTCCTGGCTTACATCAACCCGTTGTGTGAAAAATATGAAATGAAAATGAATGAAAAAGAAATGAAATATGAAAATGTTTGTGGTGGTGAGGTACAGATGTATGCTGATGATAATTTATCAAGGTTCCAACTGAAAAGTAGTGAAGGAACGAGCGGAAAGTGGATTATTGTGAGAGATTATTGTAATACTGGAGGGTGGATATGAATAAATCAGTCTCAGCTCGATCTCGGTGTTTGATTGCCGCGTTCCCATGTTGACATGGCGCAGTCGGAAAAGTAAAAAAGTTTATTAAGTATATTACAAGTTAATTCGAATAGTGTTTAGTTAATAACATTTAATAATTATGGAAGGTGTCTTAAGTCCACCAAAACCATTTCGTTTCGACGGGAGTTCAGACTACGCAAATATAAGTGCCAGTTGGACAAAATGGAGGAATAGCTATGAAATTTATAGAAAGGCATGTGAAATAACGAACAAAGCGGCGAGTGTGCAAATTAATATATTATTGCACGTACTTGGCGATCAATGCAGAGAAATCCTAGATCAAACCAAAAATTCACTTTTAAAATGCACTACCGCGGAAGCTGTCTTACAAATATTGGATGGACATTTTAATATAAAACCTAATGTTACAGTGGAACGACACCGATTTTTTACAAAGAATCAGAGAGAAAACGAGACAATAGAACAATATGTTTTCGACTTGCAGAAATTGGCTCAAACATGCGATTTCGGGGCCTTAAGCGACGGTCTTATAAAAGATAGGCTGATATGTGGCGTATCCAATTCAGCTATTCGGGAACGGCTACTAAGGGAGTACGATCTAACTTTAAGCAAAGCATTAGAAATATGTCGAGTCGCGATAGTATCGAGGGTGTATGCGGATAACATTAAACAGGAGCAGTTATCAGCATTCTTAATCAACAATAATAATCAAGCGGTCGAAAATGATGAGAATATTTGGAGTGTAAGGCACAGGAGGGATTCAAGGAGAGGATATCGCGGTGGCGTAGGTGGCGTGAGCGCGGACGCGCGCATAGGCGGACGCGGCGTACGCGGCGGCGCGTCCCGCTCGGCCCAGCGCCCGCCATGTCGCGCTCGAGGCGAGCGTGCCTTCACGGGTTCGACGCTTTGCGTGAAGCAATGTGGGCATTGTGGCAGTGCACATAAAAAGTTTGAGTGTCCCGCGCATCGCAAGCAGTGTCTAAGATGTGCGAAAATGAATGACTTTGCCAGAGTCTGTGGTGCTAGTGTATTCAATGTCGAGGAGTCTGATGAGCAGGTAATATATACTGTAAAATCTAGTAGTGAGTGGAATGTTAACCTAACGATTAATAATAAGTCTGTTAATTTTAAATTAGATACTGGGGCAGATGTTAATATATTGCCGTTGCATTATTTGCCACAAATAGGGGTCTCGGATAAAGATTTGCTAAAAACAAATACCAAGTTATCTGGCTACTCGGGCACCGCCATAAAAGTAGTAGGGAAAATCACTTTAAAGGTTTATTACAAAAGTAAAATGTACATGCTAGAATTTAAAATAGCAGATGTTAAGTCTTTGGGGGAGGCCTATGTTCAGCAGTGGACTTGTGAAGGGCTGTAATGATGATGATGATGATGAAGTCTATGCCGGTCTTGGGCAGGTTTGCGTGCAGTGAGTTGGACATGGTGAGACGCGTGATGTCGATACAGGAGGATAGCGGACTTCCCTCATTTTTAGGGGAGTACGATGACGTTTTTCAGGGTATAGGGTGCTTACCGGGGAAATTTATTATATGAAAATGTTGTACCGATTGTTCATGCTCCTAGGAAACTACCGTTCGCGATTAGGGACAAAGTTAAGATGAAATTGGAAGAGATGGAAAAACAAGGCATTATAGTCAAGGTCCCATCGGACTGGGTAAGTAGTTTAACTATTGTTAAAAAAGCTAATGGAGACATACGAGTTTGTCTTGATCCGAAGGAATTAAATAGAGCGATCAAAAGAGAATATTTTAGGTTACCGTCACTCGGCGAGATTGTATCAAAACTTTCAGGTGCTAGGTATTTCAGTACTCTGGATGCGGTAGCAGGGTTCTGGCAGGTGGCTTTAGACGATACAAGCGAGTTGTGCACGTTCAACACTCCCTTTGGACGTTACAAATTCTTAAGGTTACCCTATGGCATATGCTCGGCACCAGAGGTGTTTCATAAAAAAATATACGAAAATTTTGATGACTTAGATGGAGTTTGTATGTACATCGACGACTTATTAATATACGGTAGCAGCAAAAAAGAACATGATGTAAGATTAAAATTAGTATTGGACAGGTGCAGGAAAATCAACCTCAAATTAAATAAAAATAAGTGCAAATTTGGGTTAGAAGAAATCAGGTATTTGGGACACAGGATTACAAAGAAGGGGCTTTATCCGGATAACTCGCACATTACAGCAATTACGAACATGCCTAAACCTGGAAATAAAAAGGATGTAGAGCGATTACTAGGACTAATTACTTACGTGGGTGCTTTTATACCAAATTTATCTGGTAAGACATTGTTGTTGAGAGAGTTGTTAAAAAAAGAAACGGAATGGCACTGGGATGAACGACATGACGAGTGTTTAAAAGTTATAAAACAGTGTTTATCAAAACCACCAGTGTTAAGATATTACGACTTAGACCTCCCTATTACTATCTCAGTAGATGCGAGCAAAAGCGGCTTAGGTGCCTCTCTAATGCAAAAAGGAATGCCAGTTTGTTATGCATCTAAGTCATTGTCAAAAGCAGAACAGCGATATGCTCAGATAGAGAAGGAGTTATACGCTTGCGTTTTTGCTTGTGAGAGGTTTCATGCGTACGTTTACGGAAGAACAGATGTCGTGATCGAAACTGATCACAAGCCACTCGTTAGCATTATAAAGAAACCAATAGTGGACTCACCATCGCGCCTACAACGGATGTTATTGAAATTACAACGCTATACATTCAAATTAGTCTACAAAGCCGGTAAACATCTATTTATTGCAGACGCGTTGTCACGGGCATACGAGCCCGAGCCGGTGTTGAGCGCGCAGGTTTCCAGCGCTGACTATACACAGCACGATGAAGTTTGCGCGATCACAAGAGATATGGCACTGAGCGCAGCGACTGATGTTACGGACTTGCAGTTTATTAAGTTGCAAAAGAGTTCAGAAAATGATGATGAACTCGCGTTGTTGAGGAAATACATAAGAGAAGGGTGGCCTACAAACAAACATGACGTCATAGATTTGGTAAAGCCATATTGGGGCTATAAAGAGCATTTATCGATCGCGTATGGTCTAGTCTGGAAGGATCAAAGGATAGTGGTGCCAAAACTCTTAAGAAAAGATTTGTTAAAAAAGATACACGTCGGTCATGTAGGGTTGCAAAAATGTCAATTGCGGGCAAGGGAGACAATATTTTGGCCGGGAATAAATAACGATTTAACAAATTTAATATCTAATTGTAGTATATGCCTGACGTACAGGAAAAACAACCAAAAGGAAGAAATGAAACCTCACGAAATTCCCGACCGACCATGGGCAAAAGTAGGTACAGATCTATTTCAAATAAAAGGTGTGGATTATTTATTATTAGTCGATTACTATAGCAAATTTTTTGAAATAGAGAAATTACAATGTACAACTTCAGCGAGTATAATTGAAACCCTAAAAAACATATTTAGTCGTCAGGGTATACCCAACGTAGTCATGTCTGATTGTGGTCCACAGTTTTCATCAACCCTGTTTAGACAGTTTTCGTTAGAATGGAATTTCAAACACATAACCTCATCGCCACGATATCCGCAATCTAACGGACAAATTGAGCGAATGGTACAAACTGTAAAAAACATAATACTTAAAAGTAAAGAAGATAGAGTTGATTATCGATTGGCTTTATCAGAGTATCTTAACACACCTTTAGAAAATGATATTTCATCACCAGCTGAGTTATTGCAAAGTAGGAAATTCAGAAGTATGTTACCAAAGTTAGATTACACTTTAAAACCGAAATTACAAAAGAATGTACATAATAAATTAGTCATGAGGCAAAATAATCAAAAATACTACTACGACCAACACACGCGAAATCTAGACCAATTAAGTAACGGACAAAAAGTAAGGGTACTACTAGATGTAAACCAAAGAGAATGGTTATCAGGGACAATATTGTGTCAGCTGCGATATCGTTCATATAAAATAAAATTAGCAAACGGGAGCATTATTATACGTAACAGACGCCATATTATTAAAGATTCTCCACATAGACAGGACGCGCCGCACTATACTTTAAACAATTACGATGATGTCCGACCTCATTGCCCGCATAACAATCAGGTTTCCAACGGTACTATACCTTCTGAAGCCTCACCTAATACAGTAAACAACAATAATTATTATGTCACACGTTCCGGCAGGACAGTGAGGCCACCGGATAGATTGGGCTTTGAACACTGAACAGCGGTGATGAACAGCTGCGCAGCTGCGTCGCCACAGTCACCGTGTTCAGTGAAAACAAAACTCTAAATTATAACGTACGCTCAAATAACGAAAATAAAGTATGTAAAAAAAAAATGTAAACTATCAAAACCCGGCATGATATTATTATTTGTTTGTTAAGCTGCACAGCATGCACGTTTATTACACCAAAGGTCCCAGGTTCGATTCCTGACTGGACTTATAATTTTAGTTAGTTGGTGTATTATTTTAGATTTATTACTTAAGAAATGAAATAAATGTAATTGATTTATTAATTTAAAAATATAACGAGTATTACTAATTAAAAAAAAATTAATTTAAGTAATTAAATGAACATTTCATACTATACATACACATATTGTAATGCCAGTGATTTCATAATTGATTTTTCTTATTTGTAAGATAGGGGAAGATGAGTAGTTAGAGAGATATAATTCATAATAATGTATTATTAATCAGAAAACTTACTAATTTAATATACATATGTAATATTATTAAAATTATTATTTTATAGTGAAAATACCTATCAATTGTCTTACTATTTTTGTGATAAAAATATGCAAGAGTAAAATTCCATTTTAATTTTGTTTCTTATCATTAAGAAGGAAGATGTGAGAGATTATTGTAATACTGGAGGGTGGATATGAATAAATCAGTCTCAGCTCGATCTCGGTGTTTGATTGCCGCGTTCCCATGTTGACAGCAGTGACGATTTGGCTTGAGAACAATTTACTTACGATAAATGTGTCTAAAACAAAATACATCTGTTTTTCAAAACAGAGAAATTCTGCTCCACAAAACATAATAGAAACACTAAGGAGATTTGTGACTGTAAATGTGCCGTATTAGAAAGAACGAACACTTTAAAATATTTAGGCCTTCATGTTGATGACACACTAAGTTGGAAGTTTCATATTCAAAATGTAGCCAAGAGAGTTTGGAAACTTATTTTTATTTAAAAAAATTACGCGTGATTGCTAACAAAGACCTAATGTTACAAATTTATAATTCGCTTTGTATAATAGTTTAATTTCCTACTGTGTTCGTACTTGGGGAGGGACACATAAAAGACATATGATTAAACGCGAAATGTAGCAATGTAGAAAATAAGTGGAAAACATCGATAAATCGTAATTCGTTCTTTATCAATGGCTTCTTAATACTTTGCGACAAGTCTTAGGCTGGCAAGGCTAGATCTATAGACCGTACTTTGACTTTGCTCAAACTTTACTTTCAAGCTAAGACAATGTTGGTATTTATAGAGCTAACTTCGAAGTCGTGCTGAGTGCGCGCTTAGCAAAGCCTAAATCAACGATATCGACTTACATAAATATCAGGATCTTATTAAAAAAAAAACCGTATTAATTTTAAATTATTGGTTTCATGTTCCTCTAATTAATTATAACTAATAAATAAATAGGTTGTTTAAGGCTGTCTTCTAGTTTTAAATAGCATTAATCTATTGTCTGTTTACGTAATTTCAATCTTATTTCGAATTTCTTAAACTCTTTTTTTCCAAAGAGATTTAAATATATAAGTATACTATAGAGCGGACATTGGGAACATTTATATACAAAAACTTTGAGCTAGTGCGCGTGTGGTACCCTCTAGCGAAAAATAGCAAAACAACGCTAAGCATTTAAGACTATATTTTAGCTATTCCCCAGTAGGTGACGCTAATAAATATAACCTCGTTTTAGGAATGTTACCATTTCGATATCAAATATCGATAATTTTGTTGAAGATTACTAACTTTGAAATGCTTTTCGATATAATAATAGGAAATATACATGTTTGTTTTATAATTAAAATTGGTAACTAAATAGTGCTGTTTACTGGATAACAGAGGGCGCTTATTACAATAAAAATAAATGTTCTAGAACTATCTACTATAAATAATAAAATTTAAAGATTATTCGGTAAATATAACATATTATATAATACCCATAGAATATCACGTTCATTTTTTGCTCCATATCTTTACTTACAATATCTTAATGTGTGTGTGCATATTTTCTTTAAAAATATTTTTTAAATATATGAAACGAATGCGTCTTGACTTATTGACGATGTCACTAGGACTAAGAGACAAAAATCGGAGATATATCCTATAGGACATAAGT